CTCATCACACCGAACTGCGCTTAAATGGTGAGCGTAGGGCCAAAAGACCCACACTGTTATTAAATGCAAAATTTATTGGATCTTTTGCTAAATTCCAAATAGTGTAAATGACTAGGTATCAACTCCTCTCAGTCAGGCTTGATTCAATACTTGAGGTAGCGGGCAGCAGTGAGTTGCGCAGTGAGGAACCAGCCTAGGGCGGAGTCCAAATTCCTCGAGCAAGCGTAGAGACTGGTGCTGTCGGGTGCAGTTATATCGACGGCGTACTGCAGGAAACCCGATTTGGGTACTTTCGAGTACACTTCCAAATCACATTGAAAGCGATCACAGATGGTACGAATCCTACGATCCTCAGTGTCCAAAAGGATCTTTGTCACTTGCGGTGACTCTTTTAAGTAAAAGCGAAATCGACTAGGATGTCCAGAAGAAACGGACTTGAGACGAGGTGCATTCTTAGCAACTTTATCGAATGCGTCACCAAGAGGACAGATCTGTTTTGCCAAACCTCCACGAGCTGGCGAAGTGGGACTGGACCAACCATAAGCGTTGTTCGCCATCCCCAAACCCATTAGACGTCGCCTTTCATTCTCTATCATCCCTGTTTTGAATGTTCGCATTGAATTGGCTCTGGAGAAGTGTGACATACCTCTCATACAACGTTCACTCAAGTTTGCCATGCTAAGTGCTGGAACGATGGGACCCGCGTGGGGCCCATAGAGCAGTGGGTGGGCGAAGTGCGACACTGAACAGCATTGACATTGAGGCCTGTAGAATGGTATGTAATCACCACCGATACCCACTCTTTCGACATTTGCAGGTCCATAAGATTGATTTGATTGATTTGTGTCGGGGATCACAAACCCATCAGAGCCGCGTGGCAATGGGAAACACGAAGATGTATTACAGACATCTGAGTAAAATGTTGGAGGAATCTGAGATTTCAAAGGTACATTGAGCGATGAACTTCGAAGTGATTGCTGTGGAAGCAAAATAGTGTCCATTGACATCGCTAGTGGAGTTCTTTTTTCCTCAAGTCTATCACCATACTGATGATCAAGAAAACCATCCCATGATCGTGCTTTTCGGAGAACATAGGGTAGACACCCATCTGTTGCTGTTGGTGGTATAATTTCGGGTTTCTCAACAATATGTACGTGTTGGGATCTGTTTGATGATTGTGATTGCTTAAATGGCTCAAAGTGATCAAGAGATTTTGGATTTTGCCAAAAATTATCACCTGATGCCGAAGGTGGTTGTAGGACACCTGGTTGGAATGCAGTGAAATCGTTCATAGGTGGCACTCCAAACATCCATTTGGGTGAGGTACGGCTTATTTTAGGCAAGTCAAAGTATAGGGGTTGTTTTGTTGTGAAAATACACGATCCAGGCATAACGTCGGGATAAGGTGCTGTGGGGGACCGGTAAGGGTCCTGCAGATGCATGAAGGAGTTGGATAAACGACGTTGTCTGTCTTCCGAATGGCTAATGTGATGGAGCCTATGGCCCAGTGTACCCCTCATGCTAGAAGTGATAGGCTTTATTTCAAATTCTGTCATAGTCGATCGGTTTCGGAAGCGTGGTCTTGTACCCACTTGAATCATTTTTGTCACATAGCGTGCATTTTGGCGGGCCAAATCTTTTGGACTTGGAGGCAGCAGAATTCCACATTGTATAGCCCTCTCCTCTCTCTGACAGGGGGCTTCTTTCCTGCGTTTTGACTTCACTGTTCTGTGCTGTCCCGGGGCCTGCTCATGGTGCACATCAGAGCCTTGCGTGTTGCCCATTTAAGGGAAGCAACGACTAAAATTTATGTTGTC